GGATTTTGAAAGCAGTTAATAATCAAACCGGAATGGGTATCTATTATATCTTGTCATCTTCAGAGTAGTTGCCTCTACTCTTAGACTTGATACTATCAAGCATACCAAATTCTAATAAAAACAATCAAGGCAAAACAGCGGTCTAACAAACCAGCATCAAATAAGATCAGTCATAGTAAGACAATGTAAGTAATACAGGGTTTCAGTTTAAGTTCATAGGAAATTAAGGATAGTTACCATGGTATAACCTGCTATTTTGGGTATAGCTGTCTGTGCCCTCAAATCTAACATGAGTAGACAGACCAGAACAAAATAAAATCAAACTAAACAGAGCAATAAGACTACTGTGACTTTTAAATCCTGATACACTATTAACAATGTCCTCTGCCTTCCTTTTTTAGGCAGTTTCTCACCTTTCCCCTTCTCAGGATGCTTCGTATATTTTGGGTCTCACTAGCTCCTTTAGTTTTTAGATTAGGGGATCAACCCATTATCTATCTGAGTGGTGCTGAACCTTTTTACCCCTGAGCTTGATCTTGAGCTGTACTCCTTTACTTACTAAAGCCATAAAGTTTTCCTTTCTTCCAGCTGTGTAGTTCTACACTGCACATATGTGTCATAACTTTCCAATCTATCTGCAGCTCCAGGACAAGTTATCCCTATTTCTCTCTGGTTTTCTGTCACATATAGCATCATTTTCTCATCTTTGACTTTCAGTTTATTAACCCTCTTTCAGGTTGAGTATATTTCCTATTCAGAGCATCTTGATGGATTCTGCCTCCTAATCTACTCTGCCTGTGTTTCTTTTTGTTAGTGTATCAAGACTATCTATATTAAAGATTATAGCCTACCTTCTCTGCCTCATCTCTGCTATTCTATTTTTCTGCTATTATTTTTCCACTTTACTCTTTGATTCCACTGTCTGCCCCATTCATTGAAGCCTCTCTGCCACTGTTGCTAGAATCCTGGTATTTTTTTCTCTCTTTCTCTGGAATGATCTTCAGTATTTTTTGTAGGGTTGGATTGGTAGCCATGAACTCCCACAGTGCCTCCTTGTCTTGGGTATATCTTATTTCTCCATTAATTTTGAGAGAGAGTTTTTCTAGGTACATCAATCTGGATTGGAGGCTATGTTCTTTCAGGGCTTGGACTATTTCCCCCAGGCTCTTCTCGATTTGAGAGTTTGTGTTGGTAAGTCTATCATTATTTTGATTATTTTTCCTTTGTAGGTGATCTGCTTCTTTTCTCTGGCTGCTTTTAATATTCTGTCCTTGTGGTAGATTTCTGGGATCTTGATTATTATATGGCTGTGTGTAGATCTGTTTTGGTTGTAGGTGGCTGGAGTTTCTGTATGCCTCATTTATCTGGATATCATTTCTTTTTCCTATGCTTGGGAAGTTTTCCTTAATTATTTCTGTGAATAGTCTTTGTAATTCATTTGTGGTTACTCCTGCTTCTTTGCTCACATTTTTTATTCTTAAGTTATAGATCCTCTTGTCATCTTCTAGCCTTTGAACTGTTTCTTCCTGGTTCCTTGTTATTTTTAAGAGATCTTTTCTTTCATGATCACACATTATAAATCTCTCTTCAAGTTTCAAAAGGCTAACTTTAGTTTCTGTCAAGGCATTTTGCCAGGTTCAATGGAGTTTTTAGTTTCCTGGTAATCTCTTTGGATCTGTTTCATGTATTCTAGGTTTTGTTTATATTCTTCTTCAAAGGTTTCTCTTCCTTTTCTGAGTTCCTCTGTTCTTCCATCTGTGTTTCCTTGGGAGGGGCTTAGCATTTCTATAATTAATCTTTTTATATCTTGCCTCACTTGAATTAGAATTTCAGTTTTAAGTTCATCGATGAGGTTATTAAGGTATTTCTTTATGTCTGCTGATGTTGTGGCTAATATTGCATGATTGCTGCATTGGTTCTCTTTTGTACTTACCTCTCCTGGGCTTATTTTCTCAGGGTCAGTGGCTCGAGGTTTTTTTTATTTTTTTATTTCTATCTTTTGTCATGTTTCTGGTTTCTTTCAGTCAGGTGTGTTGTGGAGGTCCTTGGCCCTCTCCATATTGTTTACAGTTTTTCTGAAGTGTGATGACTGAGGTTTTACTGTCCTCTCCAATTTGCTGTTATCTGAGGCGCACACAGGAACAATGCAGGATAGCCTCTAGCCTCTGAGCCAGTCAAGCCACAAGTGCCTTCAGCAACTTAGTTTGTGCTTTGGGGACATCACAGGGTTGGGACAGTTTCATCCCTGGCTATTAGGCCCCAAACAGGGGTGTGGCGCAGCCCAAACGGATCCTACCAATCCTCTCTGGGCCAGGGGCAGCTGACTGACGCCACTGCTGTGACGCCAGGCTCTGCCCCATTCCAAGATGTCCTACAGCCAGTGACACCCACTGTGGGACCCAATCTCCAGCACTCACCAGGAATCAATGTAGTTCTCACCTTGGCTCCACTCCACGCTACACTGCATCCTCCCGCCAATGGCCCGGGACTCACCAATTCCTGTTATTGGAGGCCTATTATTGGCTTCAGTGCAACCTTGAGTCGCCCAACTCCATGGTGCTCCCAGCACAGCACAGACCAGTTTCAGTGAGCACGTTGGGCACCAGCCCTCCATTCATGTTTTTCCTTCCTCTTCCTACTTTTCTTTTCACTTCAGTTTCCTCCTGGGTTCATGAGAATCCCTCTCTGCTCAGAGGACAGGTATTTTCTCAACATACTGATTTTCATTCTTTGGATGTATACTTTGTGAAAAAAAAAATCCTCTCTGAGGCTTCTCCTCCTCATCTACAAAATGTGAAATGGCGGTCGATGAGGAGAACGCAAGGACTGTCAGGCATCCCTAAATCTTACATGAATCAGGCTTAACAATGTGGAATTGTATTATTCTGTGTAGTTGTTACTAGCCACATATAGCTTTGGGATAGCTGAAATGTAACTAGTTCCACATATCAAAATTATAATAGGCCCCCAAACAGCTATCTGCCATAAATTTACCTTATCTGGTACTGAAATAATATCTCATTTGCCTCAGGCATAATGCATTATTTTAGGTACAGAAGCAGATAAAACAGTGGGTCAAAATAATTAAAATATCCGATTGACAGAAGAATTACTTTTGTATTAAATCACTAGAAAGTGATCATGTGACAAAATTTGATTAGAAATTTTGATAATCAAAAGTTTTGAATATAAGCTGGTGGTGAAAGTGTAAATAGTAGCCAAACCTCACTACCCCAGGACTACCTTTAGACCAAGAGCTCTAGCTATGGGCTGGGTGCTAACAGGCCCTTGTCTGGATTCTCCCAGCCATACCCCTTCTCCCTGTGACACTCCACACAATGCTGTATAAGCTGGTGAGAGGTATTATGATCAGGGGCCAGTGAATGTCAGTGTCTAAAGCATCAGATTCCCCAAGCTGCTTTACATATAGACTGGTACAGACTGCTATTTTGCTCCATATTTAAGAGGAATGATCACCAAATTATTAATGGGCTATATCTTTTTCTACTAAGCTCACCTGTTCTAAGTGAGTTGAGACTCACAGGCCATAACTCAGTCTTCTCCATCATGGTAAAGTCAATGTGTAGCCAATTCCAAGGTACTGTTTTTATTTTTTATTTATTTATTTTTTTATTGGTACCTGGGATTGAACTCATGACTGCCTGCTTACAAGGCAGGTGCTTATGCCGCTGAGCTAAATCCCCAGCCCCAAGGTACTGTTTTTATATTACATAAATGAGCTGGGATATTTATAATGATCTAGTGATAATGTCAATTATATTTATAATATACATACAAATTCTGTATCCTGTGGGCAATTCTTATGGTAAAGACCTCCACTGAATCATGCCTGTCAGTACCCATGCCCTTACTAATTCCTTCCCATCTTAACTGGCCTTGGTGGCCATATAATTTTCTTTGATCAATGGGACATCATCAAATGTGACACAAGCAGAGGTGAGATAAATGCTTGAGCACTGTAGCCTGCCCTCTTGCTAATTCAAGGCCAGTTTGCAGTGAAGAAGCCAAGGGTTTTGGAAAGGAAAGGCCTAGATAGCCCCAGCATCCAGCTGACCCAACATCTGACTGTAGTTGTGTGAATCAGTTCAGATAAAACAACAACAGAACTTTTTAGAAGAGTGGAAAATAATAAATGTTGGTGTTTAAAGCTTCTACATTTAGTTGTTTGTTATAAGATAATAGAAATAAAAATAATCCCCCAATAAAGACATGTTATCTCTCCTCAAAGCCTTGTGGACTTTCTGTATCCCATCGTACTGGCACAGGAGGATGTGAGGTTAAGTGTTTCTTAATTAACAAAGATGTATCTGGAAATCTAAATTTTAACATCCAGTTGATGATTTGTTTTATTTAAAAATATTCCTTTTACTGAAAATATGACCTTAGTATAAAGTATTTGATTTGTAGGCTAGTTTTCCTGATAACACACTTATTGACTGCAATCTCTAGCCTATCTGACCTGTAACAATAATACTAAGTTTGTCAATTTCCTTCTTTCTTTCTTTTTTGGCAGTACTAGGGATTAAAATGAGGGTCTTCACACCGAGCTATATCTCCAGACTGTTATTATTAGTTATGATGATGATGATGATGATGATGATGATTTTGAGACAAGATCTCACTAAGTTCCTAGATTGCTCAAGTTGGGCTCAAACTTGTAATCTTTTTGCCTCAGTCCTCTTGCTTTAGACTCCTACAGGGGTGAGGTTACAGATGTGCACCATTACCCCCAGCTAAATTTTTATTTTTTATTTTGTTAGTGTGAAAGCTGGGTATTGGTGTTGCAGTTCAGATAGGCTATAGTTTGAGCTAGTTTTTTGAGGTGTTTTGTTTTGTTTTGTTTTTGCTTTAAACAACTTATTAACTGAAATGAGCTTCCATTTATTTAACTGAAGTGATTTCCATTCTATTTATTTATTTATTTATTTATATTTTAAAGAGAATAAAATCCAACAAAACAGAGTAAAGCCAATCAAAACAAAGCAGTGGAGTGTGGTTGATGTTATGCGATGGATCTGGTTTTTTTTCTGGGTGTTCCACTCTCTGAGGCTGGAGAGTAACAGAAGAGTTGTTATTGCAATTCATGTTGGGATCACGTCTATGATCCCAGAGGAGCTGGAGAATACACTGATTCTTAATACAGCGAGCCTTGCCGTGATGGGGGAATTGAGGGAAATATGGTGAGGAATTACACTTTGAAGGTGTTGGGAAATGACACATAGATCTTGGAAGATATTTCTTTGAAATATGCAGGAAAGGAATAAAAAAAGGTGTCTTCTTAGGAACATTATTAGTCAGATTTATTTGATCAAGAATTTGAAAATTATTAAGGAGAGATGAATTCATGTGACAGTTCACAGAATGGATATTCAAGGAATTAATCAACAAACGCGACAGGAGACAGTCAACTTAGAATTCAACATAATGCAGAGTGGGGAGCCCCAAACAGAGGGAGATGAATTCTCTCATCCCAAGAAGAAATTAAGGTGACTTTGCTGACCATCCAAGGTCCCGCTGCAACTGGCCAACGCTGTGACTTGCTGGGGTCCTGCCACAACTTGCCGAGGTTCCACTGTGGTTGACTTGGGTCCCGCCACAACTTGCCAAGCCGTCCGAGGTCCCACCACTTCAACTCACTGGAGGCGCAGTTACATTGAGTTCGAGGGTCAGCGAGCTGAACAGAGAGCTGAGTTGGCAGGGAGCCTACATCGACCTGTGGTGAGTGATGGGAGTGGAGCCATTCCATAAATAGGGGGGCTCTGGCAGACAACATTCTGGGGCTGGGCAGGACTGGCAAGTACAAAGGGCAGCAGTGACTTCAGTCAATTGTTCCCTTCCCAAACAGGATTGGTGGAGTGCGCTAGGCCTAGGTCATGTGACCTGGCTGAGCCCCAATAGGTTATCTGAGGTCAAGTTCCTGCAGTGGTGGTGTATACTAACCACACTGGCCCGGTTAGGCCTTGGAGGTTTGGCTGGTCCTGAGGGGAAGTGGTGCAAAATAATACAGTAGTGCAGGCCACAGCAGCTTGACTGATCTGGAGGGGAGAGGCCAGCATACGCTGTCCCTGTCTGCAACTCACTAGCACATTGCAGTATGAAGGGTTGTCTAGCCAGAGCACTTTGGAAGAATTGTAACCAACAAAGAAACAGACTGAGGCCTCCTGGAAGAAGCTAAAAAGATGGGACGAGGAAGCAATAACAAAAAGTCCCCAAGCCCCAACCCTAAGAACATTGACCCAGGACAGGTAAATACAAAGAAGAATGAGAACAGCAAACATGCAATATCAGACACAGTGCCAGTGGACATAAAGAGATATATTCGGGACCTCATAAATGAGTTCAAAAGTGAAATATTTAGCCAAATAAAGCAAGATATAAGAAGATTAATAAAAGAGATACTAAGTACCCCTCAAGCAGACACAGATGGAAGAAGGGAGGAACTCAAACACAGGAGAGAACCATTTGATGAAGAATATAAAAAATATAGAATACATGAAGCAGATTCAAAGAGATCACCAGGAAATTAAAAACTCTATGGAAAGATGGCAAATCAGTTTGAAAGAAACTAAGGATAGATTATCCAAACTGGAGGACAATTTTGCAATGTGGGAGTATGAAAGGGAAAACTTTTTAAAAATAACAAGGAAACAAGCAGTAACAATACAAAGGCTAGAAGATGACAAAAGGATCTATAACTTGAGAATAAACAATGTGAATGAAGAAGCAGGGGTACAAACAAAGGAACTACAAAGACTATTTACAGAAATAATTAAGGAAAACTTCCCAAACATAGGAAAAGGAAATGATATTCAGATGTATGAGGCATACAGAACTCCAGCCACCTACAACCAAAACAGACCTACACCCAGGCATATAATAATCAAGACCCCTGAAATTCAATATTAAAAGCTGTTAGAGACAAGAAACAGATAACCTACAGAGAAAAGCCCGTCAGAATAATGGCAGACTTCTTGACACAAACCATCAAGTCAAGAAGAGCCTGGAGCGAAATATCCCAAGCCCTGAAAGAAAATAACCTCCATCTCAGATTGATATACCCTGTTAAACTATCTCTAGAAATTAATGGAGAAACAAGATGCTTCCAAGACAAAGAGGAACTTGGGAAATTTGCAACCACCAATCCAACTCTACAGAGAATACTCCAGGGCATTCTAGAAGGAGAGAAAAGTACTAGGATTCCAGGAACAGTGGCAGAGAGGCCACAATGAATGGAGCAGAAAACAGAATGAAGAAGATAAGCAGAAAACTGATGGCAAAAAAGAGCATAACAGAAATGAGGCAGAGAAGATTTTATTCAAAACTGATATGATTGATAGTATCAAGTCTGAGAGTATAGGCATCTACACTGAAGATGACAAGATTCTATGATACACATTCTGGTTTGATAACTGCTGGTTTTTTAAGTTCTACACTATATACAAAGTTGGGTTTTTATTAATACTGTTATGTACTGATATATTCAATTATACTATGTCTGATGATATAGCTAATTCTATTGGAGATAACAAGAGACAACACAGGAATCACGGTAGAACCCTTTGTACAACGGTCTTATATGTTTATTTTGTTTCATGTGTTTATAGGAATATGTTTTGTTTTGCCTTGCTTTGTTTTGTTTTTCCCTCTAATATAGAAAGGATAGAAATACATGTTACGACTCATGCATGTGTAGAATCTGTAAACAGTTTATGAGAACTGATCATATGACACATGATGAAATGAACAGATACATTGAAGAAAAAGAGACACTAAAATATCCAGTGCTGATCCTGAAATGTCATAATGTGAAACCCAGCAATAGTATTATTCTTTGTTCAGAGTCATATTAGCCTGCTTGGGTTTATTCAATCTCAACATAATTGAAGATATGGATAACTGTATGTATGTTTAAATGTATAGGATTGATAACCATATTTCTAAGTTTTTGCTGGATAGTTGAACAGAACTGGTTGCAATCTCACTGTTTGAATCCCCACTTTATAAGCTCCACTTTAGTATCATGAATTACTATTTGTAAGAAGACAATCTGTAATCTTCAACTAGTGATTTCTTACTGCTTTTTTTTCTTTGAAAGTATATGTTATTTCTACCCATTTTCTGTTTTGTTTAGTCTCTCTTTAAATTAAATTTTAAAAAGACACCACAATACCCAGTGCTGATCATGGAGTGTCATGATGTGAAATCCAGCAATACTATTATTCTTTGTTCAGAATGATTTTAACCTGCTTTAGTTTGTTTAATCTAAACATAAACAAATATATGGATAACTGCATGTATGTTTAAGTGTATAGGGTTGACAACCATGTTATTAAGTTTTTGTTGGACAGTTGAACAGAACTGCTTGCACTCTCGTGGTTTGAATTCCCATTTTACATGTTCCATTTTTGTATCTTGAACAACTATTTGTAAAACGACAATATGTTAACATCAACTAGTGATTTCTGTTTATTTTTTTCTCTGTATTATTTCTACCGATTTTCTGTTATGTTTACTCTTTAAATAAAAATTTTTTAAAAAGACAAAAAAACCCACAAGGTAGTGAAAATAATTCAGAACTTCAAAGCAGGATAATAGGCTACCATAATATATCTTTTTATCTTTATAATAGTTGTCCATACTATCAGACATAGTAAAATCAAATAAAACAAAACAGAATAAAATCAATCAAAATAACATTGAATAAAACAAAACAATAAACTGAAACAAAACAAAATAGTGAGAACAATACTGGGTTTCAAAAACAAGGCAGAAAGGAATTCTTATTTCTATATTTTGTGCTGTTATCCTCCTAATAGATGCTCCGATTACTGGCCTTAGGTCTGCCAAGTCAATCAAACAATACAAACATTTAGTTGTTTTTATACCTCAGCTGCTATTAGCTCAGTCTGTCCTCTGAACCAGCTAGTTGCTTACTGCAGGGGTGTGATGGGGATTCTTGATTCTCAGTCCATGCACCAGTCAGCACACAGGAAGGGCAAACTGGCTTCCCCTCTTTCTGAGCCTTGCATGGTTTATGAAGGTTTCCCAGACAGGCAAATTGGCTTCTTGAAGTGTTTCTCCCACACCCAGCATGGCTTCTACTGACTCACAGGGAGGGTAAACATTCTCTCTTCTTGGGCCTCACATGGTTTACCTGACTTACTGGAAGGGTGAACTGGCTTCTTGATGTGCTCTTCCCAGACCTAGCATGGCTTCTCAACTTACATTTTATTTTGATACATCTTTTTCTCATGATGATTTACAGGATCTTCAAGCCAATATAAATATTTCATAAATATTGTGTAGGTATTCATAAATATTATGTGGGTATTCACCTACACAATACCTCAGCAATATATTTCAGCAAGAAAGACACTGAAGAGTGAAGACCCAATACAATTAACTAGATAGAATGGAAATCCTTTCCAAATATTTGTTTCTGAGTAGAGGAACCACACACTTCTTCAATGAAGAAAAGCATTCTTATAACACAGGATGATTTTTTATGTTTAAGTAGGGGCTAGAAAGTGCAACTGCTGTTAGGTGCTGAATGGCAGAGCTACATCCCCAGTGTATGCAGTGAATGCATAGGGAATGGGTACCAGCAACTCAGGCTCCTTTCCACTGGAAGTGTGCTTCCCTGGGCAGGGCTGGCTGGCACTTCAGTTGAACCCAGGTAACTTTCTCTTTGTCTTTTTTACTTTTCTGATCATTTTCCTTGATACATTTCAGGAAGCTATCACAACTCTGAGTGTTTAATATGCTCAGTATGCACATTAATCCTCTTGACAAGCATCTTGCCCTTAACTTGCTTGTTTACAGCAATGCCAACAGCATGCTGGGTAACACTGTAGACTCTTCCAGTTTTGCCGTGGTACCATTTGTGTGGCATTCCTTTTTGCACATTACCCTTTCCCTTGATGTCTATGATATCACTGTTTTTTGTAGATTCTCATGTGTTTGGCCAAAGGAACAACCCCATGTTTTCTAAAAAGCCTAAAGAACATATACTGGGTTCCCCTCCCCGTTCCCTTCATGTTCATCATTTTGGCAAATTACTGGAAGATGACAGTTCTGACTGAAAGTCTAGTCTTTCAAATCTTATATTATTTTAAAATTTGTTTACCCACGAGATACAAGGCCTTCCTAAACATCTAAAAATAATGATTCTAATCAATTAACCCTTCATTGCCTAGTGATCCCTTTTCGCAATGCCCATAATAATGGAACATAATGAAATTTGTTCTTTTCAAATTCATGTTCCTTGAATATTTCTAGGTAATATATATGAATGTCATGCAAAAAATTCAAAAAGATTCAATCTTTGGCATAAATAGGTAATATTTAGTCATAAAAAACAATATGTATATTTTAGTGAAGGAGGCAAGACTTCTGTTAAGGTTTAGATCTGGAATGTCCCCCCAATCCTCAGGTGCTCAGAGCTGAGGCTTTAGAAAGGTGATTAGGTCATGGGGGCACTATGGCTGAGTGTGCTGTGAAGATACAGGATCTGGTAGGAAGAGGCAGTCACTAGGGGTATGAGCTGGAAGAGTATTATCTCCCTCCATAGCTCTTCCCTTCCCTCTCTGCTTTCTAGCCTCTGTGATATGAACAACTTTCTACCACAGTAGCCCCTTCCACAAGGCAATTTCTGCCTGGGAACCAGTTGATTATGGAACTAAAACTTCTGAAACTGTGAGTCAAAATAACTCT